AGAGCAGTTGCCTCCCTACTCCATCCCTGTTCACTCCTCTGGAGAGTGCTCCCGCTCTCCTCTCCAGAAACAGGGTGCCTCTTGCCGATTGCTTTTTGCTGAGTAGCTTTTTATTCCTGACGGCACAGTTCTGGCAGGCTGGAGAGAAACCCTGAACAAGTATTATCACCAGCAGTAACTTGTGACTCACACGTAGCAGGCAGCTCTGAACTTCTCAGACTCAAAAACACTCTGAATATTACAGTACAGAAAGGAGCACAGTGCTTTTCCCCAATATTTACAGGATCAGGCTGCCTGGGCCTTTTATACGCAGACATCTAACAGACTCACCTGGGAAACGGCAAGTAGCTGAGCAACTGTAGATACCTCACTGTATCTCCTCACCAGCAGAGCTACAGACAACAAAAACATAGAAGACGACACCAAAAATCAACTTTATGCCACATCACTATCCCAATGTTGCTTTCTTCAAATGTTGGACAGAGCTGTGAAGCTCATCATGGAGTATTTTCTTCAAAGGTTTCCCAGAAGATGTCTCATATGCCTGTCTGACCACAACCACCTTGAAAACATTCTTTTTGTCTCTGTAGATTATATAGTTTACGACCATCTTCCATCCCTTAAATAGAGTCATAAGACCAAAAACTGAGAACTTTATAAAGAATTAAGTTTTAAGTAGAAAACCAAGGTAAACTAACAACACTTAAGCCAAACCAACATAACTTTGCTATGGAAGATACTGGCAGAATATACAGGCAACAACTTCAGAATCTGATTAAATGTACTCATCTCCATGTGCAGTATATCTAACAATTAAGACTTTTTTTACAAGCATGTTTCTAGAAGTATGAAGAATTAAACTCATGTTTCTGTTAAAGATTAAAAACGGGAAAGATCATCATTAGAAACTGGATGTGATGAACTATCCTTGCTGACTTACAGGTATCTTAGGACCTAACATACAGGACAAAACCACATCTTGAGTACACATTCAAATATGTTTGCTACAACAAAGTCACAGAATATAATTTGGATATGCTTTTTCTGGTTGTTGTTGTTCAGTTTTGTATTCTAAATTATGCAGTTAATAACTTCTGATTTTTATTTATTTTAATAAATCCACCAATAATTCTTGTTAAAGAAATGCAAGTTTTGGCAATTTACACCAAGTGAAAGTTAATACTATTCTCAGTGGAAAATTATCTTTGTTTTACTAGCAAAGCTCTCGATAAAAGTTAGACGAAGTATTTTAAGTTTGTGATTTATGGAATCAAAACAGGAATAGCTGAATCTTTGTTTCAATCTACCAAAAAAAATCTGACATACAGAAGTATTAGCTTTTTTCAATCACAAATACGCAACATTATCAGGATGACTTAGTTTCATGGGATTTTTAGAACAGATTTCACAGGGGTTTTTATCATACTGTTAGAGAATCATTACACTGGAACAGGGGAAGAGTGAGAATTTGTGACTGTACCTCAGCATATTTTTTTCCAGAGTAAGACGTTATGGTTCCTGAGGTGAGTTATTACGCCTTTGAGTTTATGCGCAAATCTGATGGATTATTCATTTTAGTTTAGATAGCTGCTACGTTGACAAACGGCCAAACCCTTCTGGACGGATCTTAGTATCTATTTGAAATGTGTCTCCCATTCAACCATTTGTACTGTGCAGTCTCAAACTGCATTTTGGTTTTGTAGAAATGAGGAAACTTATTTGTAAGAGGTATTTGAGATGTGCTCTGTGTCATACTGCAAGAACTTTGGATCAGACTGTGTATCACTGTGGAACTGTAAGCTGCATAACTGAAAAGCTTCACCTGCTCAGGTTCCTGGTTTCCTAGACTTTTCTTCATGTTTTTCAAGTTTTAAGGACACTTTTTTATTCTCTAATCAGATTGTGTATTCTTACATTACTGTAGTACTAATAATCTTATATTATATACAGACATCTGTATCTTCTTTATCTGCAAAAGAAACAAAGATGAGCATATTCCACAGGATTTAGGGAACCCATTCTTTAGATGTTTACACAATAACACAACTCCTGAGTTTACAGCCCTGGCATTACTCATTGACCCACAGGCTCTTGGTTGTTCAGATGAAGTATAACAACTTCAAGAGACATCCACACAGTAGGATTGCCAGTATCTTGGTAGGGTTTCCTTTTTCCTTGATTTGGAACAGAAACTTATCCTTCCATTTTCCCCAATTCTAAATGCATACTAGCCATCATGCTGTTCAGCATGCTGCAGATTGTTCTCTTTTGCTCCTTAAGGTTTCATGTAGAATTAAAATCATTTAACTGCTAATTGCATACACAGAAATAGAAATTGCAATCCAGCAAATGTTATGCTGTTCCCATGCTATGATCCTGGACCCTGTTTTAGTAACTAACAAGCTACTACATTTAGCATCAAACTTCCCCCAAAATCAATAGGTAGCATCGTGAAGCCAAATACCAAGTTCTGCAAATCATACCTCCTCACAGTTAAATCCTTTAAAAATATCTACATGTTTAACGATGGCTGTATTTTCCCGCAGCTTTAACCACAGACAACACGCTCAACAAGACCATGGGGGCTGGAGAAGCCTCCATAAAGTTGCAATTCCCTACATATACTAAATTTAGAAGATCTAAAACAATCTGAAGCAGTATCTAAGCTAGTAGAGTGAGCTTCCTTGTATAAGGGTAGGAAAAGCAGTTTTCCTGGATATTTTGCATGAAGAGATAAGAGGAATGAAGAACTGGAAGAGAAGGGAGGCTCAGATTGCTGAGGGACAAGACTGTTCTCCTCAGTGGCGGCCCTGTAGGATTTCCTCCATTTTCTGCAGTGCTCTGACTGAGAAGCAGCCTCCTGAGAGGCAGAACAGAGAGGGAGTGGAGCCTTATTACAACTGCAGTGAAAATTAATTGTCTGGCTCCCGACCCTATTGCACATAAATCCTCTTGCAGCTTTTCCTAGCGCAGTGGCTTAGGCTGACAACTTCCATCTCAGGACAAAGACTGATCAACCAGTACAGAGCATCTACAAGGAAACATACCTGCTGTCCACTCATCAGGTCAGGAAAGACAAGCTTATCTGCCTGGACTAGAGAGCAGAAATATTTCACAATTTTGTTCTGCGTTAAGATGTGAATACTTCAGAAAACACCAGCTATAAAATTCCAAAAATTCTCTAGTTGAAAGTGTTAGGATCAATGGTAAAGTATTTAGGAATTAATCAATAATCATCAATTCATGTTCATTTTCATTTTGCTATTTCCTGCATAAAGTTTTTGAACTCGACTTCCTGTCTTCTCATTTTTACTACCTAGTTATCTCCACAGGGTGGATACAAAAAGATTTCCATCAGCACATTTAATGAAAAACAGTTCTTTCAAGCAAGGCACAAAATTTAGATTTATTTATCTAATTTGATTAATCCCAATTTTTGTTTTACATTAAGTACAAAAACCAACTTGAATGTAGGTGTAAATACAATTTCTACAAAGTAGTTCAATGAGATTTAAAATCAGTTATGTATCCAGAACTGTAAAGCACAATTAAAAGCAGCCCAGGATATACAGATTGCTTACCATAACTGCTGAAAGAGCTCATAATGTATGAATATATCTAACAACCTCCAGTAATAAGTTACCACCTTTCTAATTTTTCATTTAAAACACATTTAGCGATTCTGTTTCTAACAAAGGAAGCATTAAAGAATGAGAAGTACAGATAAGTTTTACGCAAGCTATCTGAAGCCTAAATGAAACACGTACACAATCAAAAATTAAATAACAGAACAATGACTTAAATATTTTGGTTGAACATTTCTAAGAATGTAAATGCTAAGATAATACAGAAAAATAGCAACAGGTTCAAAGACTTATTTACTTCTCAAAGAACTTATGATGTACTGTAGCTGCCTGAAATATTTTAACAATTATAGAAAATCATATTTCCAAGTTTGGTACGTTCGTATTTTCTAGATGACATACATTTAAGACAACCATCCATGAACTTATTTACACATAGATGCTTCTTCATTTTAAAATCTGTATAAAAAAATTAGTTTTGGCACTACCCATAAGGCAATGGATAATATGTACCTATGATAGCAAATCATATAATGAAAGCATAGCCAGAAGAAAATCATATTCTTTATTATTTAAAGAAACTGTAAGACTTTAATCATAATTAAAGAGCAAATTAAAGAATCAGCACTTGCAAGTCACTAAAACATCCTATCCAAAATACTGAAGATTCTTTTTATATGCAACAGGAAATTGCTTTAATCTGTGAAACCACTGTGCCATGTCTTGTGTGAGAATCTGATATTTCTATGGTTATTAATTTATCAAACTAGCTTTATTATCAGAAAATAGCAAAAAGTTTAAGGAGAACATGACTTTACTTCTTAAGTAAGCAGGAAAAAATACTACTCTGAAGTCCAGTCTTTGTTAACAATCTATAAAAAAAACCTCAACGGTAATTTTGCCACTCACTCCACTGAGTAGAGACCACAGTTTCAAACTTTTTTTATTATTGATATGAGTGGTTTTACCAACTTCCTTTTTGCATTTCCATCATCTTCAATCATAGTTGAAACCCTAAAATTCAATTTCTCAGTGTTGCCACATTTGCACTGCAAAGACTGCAAGCCCAGATTTCATAAACTGTGGATTTCATTTAAGTTTAAAAAATAATCTTTGCATTTATCTTAAAGTTATAAAAAGATTTTTTCAAAACTTAAGGCAAAAAAACAGTTTTATTGGTTATGTTTCTCTAAGTTTGAGCAGGTGTAAGAGGCTGTTTAAATATCAAAAAACTAACGCCATATACAGTATTACCAACAAAAATAAAGAATAAGGCAGCATGCACCCTTAAGACAAAAAGAAAATTTAATTTTACAAGATGTTTAAATAATCCAAAGGCAAAAAGTGTCTGTTTCCTCTAAGAGTATCTTCATAAAACATGGAAATTTTAGAGGACATCAAGTTACTAAAATATTCCGCTCAACGTTTATACAAATACATTACTACAATTATAAGTTTACATACAATCAACTGACATCTCAGTGTTAACTAATTACTTAAATTTACAAGACAAACATAAATAAAGCTGTTAAAACAGGCAAGTACAGTACTGATCTATCATTCAGCACAATGTATTTTGTGTTTCTTTCACCTTGAAAAGAATCAGATTAGAATTGTGCGAAGTCGTTCTCCAAACCTAGACATAAAATAAAAGAGAATTAAGTATATCTATGCAGGTTTTACACAGCATGGGCATATCCCAAATGCCCAAGTCCTGTTTTCAGGCATGTAATTTACCACTTAACAACCTTTACTCTGTTCTCAGAAGAGGCCACAGTCTTTAAGGTTATTTTTAATAATGACATCAGTTACAGCATCGAAAACAAACTGCACATTTTTCGTGTCTGTGGCACATGTGAAGTGAGTGTAGATTTCCTTCGTGTCTTTTCTCTTGTTCAGATCTTCAAACTGACACTGAATGTAAGCAGCTGCTTCCTCATAAGTGTTTGATCCTATAAGGAGAAAATTGCTCAGTAAGCAGGTATCGGAGAAAGAACAAGATGCATACTACACCTGTGAAAGAAGTGATTCTTTGGAAACAGTTAAACTAAACCTGAAGAGCAGTAATTCCACAGCCCTCGCTTTAAGATACCGTAAATAAGTCTTGAAGGAAACCTTTTGGACACATCTTTAAGAATAAAAACTAAGGACCCAATTCAACTCCAGCTGCAGGAAGCGTCCTTCCATTCACTTCAGTGGCAGAGGAAACAAGCATCACTGTTCCCTAGACTAGGATATGTTGTTTCCTTCATTCAAGTTACTCACTTTCAATTTTTATGTTTTTAAAAGGTCTGGGTTTTTCCCAAACTCAAAGACATTTGGTGTACATATTTCTCCTAAGCTTTTTACTTCCAACTTGCTGTTTTCTGCACAATGGAATAGTCTGAGGCTACAGTGAAAATGACACATAAGAAGGCCGAGACTTACTAAATCAAATCATCCCCTTTTGCTATGTATTTGCTGAATAAGCCACCTATTTCTAACACATATGTACAACTCCCTGTTCAAATACACACTCCTGTCTCCTCAGGGATTCCTGCTAGTGAAAATAATTACACCTAAGTACAAAAATAGGAGGGCATCAGGACAAAAAAAATGGGCTAAATAAATTAGGCTGAAAAGAGTTGCAGCAGTAACATGTAAATGCTATCAGTGAATCAGCATTATTTTACCTGGTTAAAAAGACGAATCTGAGTTAGCACTATTTTATTTATGATCCAACAAAATGCTCCCCCCAAATTAAACTTTATTTCATTTTAGACATCTAAACTCCTCCTGATTTATGCATCAAAAATGAGGCAATTTAACACCTGTGCTTCCCTTCAATACCTGCATATTCAGGGTAGCAAATAGTGAGAGGACTCCTTTTGATTTTTTCTTCAAAAAGATCCTTCTTGTTCAGGAAGAGAATAATAGAAGTGTCTGTGAACCATTTATTGTTGCAGATACTGTCAAACAATTTCATGCTTTCATGCATCCGATTCTGTAATTGGAAAAAAAAAACACTTTGTATTTTATCAGATTTCAGCAGTAAAATCAGGATACATATTTTTGATTAGTTACAAACGAACCAGACAAGTTACAAAACTAAGTTTCCAGCATACAAAATCACATTTTACCAGAGGGAAATACAGAGAGGCCAAGACCACTACAATGAACACTTTCATGAGCAGGATTTAAGCAACAACTTCCCCCCCAGCCCCCTTTCCAGGCTTAAGCTGTTCAACAGTTTTGAAATTTTTGGTGTGTTTTGACATTTTGCAGTACAGATATTCTACAAGAGTTGCTCAGTTACCTGAATTTGTCCTATACTGACTAGATCTTCTGGAAATTGAAAACTAAATTCTGCACCTAGCAGAGATTCCAGCATAAAAAAATAAAAAAATAATTCGATAGAACTAGAGAATCAAGTTAGCAGGTTTTTTCCCCCTCTCAGACTAATTTTTAACTCCGTGGAAAAATTATCCAACATGTAAGTAGTTTGGCCAAGCTCCAGTCATTTAAGCAGTAGGTGCTACCTATGACCTTCTTTGACTACATTTGACTTGAAATGTTTTTCATTTCTTTTTCCTCCCCAAAGTTGCAGAACACAAGGAAGAGCATAGAAGACTGTCAATGATTCACGCACAACAGAAGCATCACTTCAGACCACTCAGACAGTAAGAAGCATGCACTCTGTGCATACAGATATGGGAGGAGTCACACTTTGAAAGAGGAGAAAGGAGTGGAATAGGAAGGGAAGGGAGAAGGAAGAGCAAAATTTCTGCAACTAAGGAAAGAGATCAAAGAAAGACATTTAGAGAGAAACAAAAACTGAAGACTGAAGGAAGGAAAACAAAACGTGGTAAAGCAGAAACAGATAAGTCAAGTAATTTCTTTGAGATTAAAATGTGTATTATTGACAACCTATCCTCATTAATTTCTGCGTCATTTAAAATGCAAGTGTAGAAAAGAATGCTGGTCGTAGTATTCCTTCTAAGAATGAGGAAATACTTTGAAACTTGAAAGCATGAATTCTGTCTCCATTTCTGAGACCTTTTACACAAAACCCATACATTTTATAAAGCAGTAATACTCTAAAGGATGTAATTTCTAGCTTTCCTTTCGAACTTCTTTAGTTTCTATCCAACAACTATTCCCTTCTTCAACATTAAAGTACTTGCCATTTCCTCATCTTCAGCCAAGACCAAGTCATAATCACTTAATGCCACACAAAAAATAATTGCTGTAACACCCTCAAAACAATGAATCCACTTCTTCCGCTCTGATCTTTGGCCACCAACATCAAACATTCTGCAAAACAGAAGTGCAAAGCAGGGAATGAACTTTGGAATTTCTAGCTTTCTGAATGTTAACCAATAAAATCTGAAAGTATCAGCTGTATGATTCTGATCACAAAATTTTTAAAGTGGTATAAAAATCTGCAACATTTATTACTATTTAATGTCTCCGTATACAAAAATAATAAATAATAATAAAGCCTTAAAAGCCTTCCTATGCACCTTTTTACAAAGCATGACAGTGTGAAATGACAGCTAAACAAAACTGATGATTTACGATACTGTATTTTATTAGCAACGTTAATTGTAATCCATAAAAAATACACAGTTAGCTTTACTAAATGTAAACTAAATGAAAGTGTAATCCAACCTTTAATCCAAATGAATAAAAAGTCTAAAATAATAAGAGGTATTGATCAACAATGTAGGATTCTTTAAGAGCACAGCAGGTGTCCGTTTCAGTACTTGGAAACAGTGCAATACTAAGAACGATGGATACAAGTAACACTGACTTTACCATTGTTGTTTTAGTATTCTGAGTATAAATATATAAAATCTAATTTTCACTTTTTCAAATTTAATCTGGAATCTCTAAATCCTGCTGAGTTTCAGCTTCTTTCTCCTAAACCAAACTGAAACTTGATCTATTTTTCAACTGTCCATGTTTAAATGGGATTTTTTTAAGAGACATTAAAATTATTTTCAAAATTCTCGAGACAAAATAAGCATTACATAAAAAGAATGATCAATTTCCATCTAATAAATCCATTTTTTGGAAATGAATTAAAGTGGGAAAACTGAGCCATAAAGGTGAGTCTCGCTTCTTTTGAATTCTTCATTTAGCAGAAATAGAGCAACAGGAAAAGAACATATTCGGGACCTTAACAGCAGAGGATCAGTAAATTAGCACAATATAAATGGATTTGCTTTTCTCTGCTATCTAAATGCTTCAAATGGCCATTTGCTAACTATTATGGGTATTATGGGCTACAGGGACTTCCAAGTATTTTGCAAGCCAGGCAAATAGTATCCTGATAAAAATGAACTGTGAACCATGGCAGGGGGATGGGACCAAATACCAAAAGAAAACAAAAAAGCAAAGCAGACAAACAGTGGTATCCTGAAATTAAGTGATATACACATCGTAGCATCTTCTCAAAGAGAGAACTTGCAGACTTCTTCCACCTGTCTCTTTCCTATCACAGAAAGAGAAGTCTGTTTTCTCAACTTCTTGCCATGACTTACGGCTTCAAAACAATGCAAATATGTCACATATTACTTCCCTCGCTATGTTAGTCAATATTCTACCATACAAAAACTTAATTGTTCCTCCTACTTGCAAGCAAATGCAACCATTCCTTTTAAAAAAGAGGCCTGACTTTTGTCTTCAGGGGATTTCACATGCAATTTTAACTTTTTTTTCAAAGTCATAAAAAAAGAGCTTAGAATTCAATAGGTACAAAAATGCTCAAATGGGAGGAGGAAGAGAGAACAGAGGACAGACCAGTTCCCACATCTCCATTCTCTTTGCTGTGAAGTAGTAGAATGGTCAACTCCATCATGAAAGCCTTATTTGGGCAAAAATGTCACACAAAAAGAAATCTAGAGCAGAACAACAGATGTTAAGATGCCTAGCTACAATTCTTGGAAAGATATTCCAGCACGGGCTAAAATAATTCAGAACTATATTAGTAATAAGGCTATCACAGTGAGGGCTTTTGGTAGACAGTAGGGCATGTAGGGTTGAACAACAAAAACAAATCTCATTCTTTATAGGACAGAACAGAATACAAGACAGAAAAATTAACTTTCTGAACAAGAAAATTTTTACTTTTTGTGGACATCGGCTTCTAAGGAACATGAGAAATTATATGCATTATACTGATGCCAGTATCATAATATCAATCTGCATGAATCTCACCTAGTTCAACAAAATCTTCTGCCACTGCTCAGTGCAAAAATATTACTACTAAGATGGTAACTGAGAGATATAAAAAGACATAGCACAACTTCCCTTATTAATAAAAAACTGTAGTAAAAAGTATTCTCTCAAAGAACAGCAAAACTATGTGAAAAAAATAGGTCTGCACAAGAGGCATTGTATTTTGGCTTGTTCAGACTATGTTGCCAGTATGTAAGCTGGGAAGGGGCGGGGGGGGAAATGCAGAAGACAGAAAACTTCTAGAACACAAAAGTGTAATTTCCAGTTAGTATTCACAGATATTGATTTTAGCCAGAAATGTTTGCTTCAGTTCAGAATAGCCTCTCTGCCAGTGGTGTAATTCGCCAGCAATGCTTGTCTCTCTTCAGGGTTGTCTTTCTAACAGTGCACCTAACAAACTCCCAGTCCTATACACAAACCATCTTTTCACACTCGTCTTTGAAATACTTACATATACTAAAATATAGCGTTGGATGAAGTTTTGGCATCACAGTTTCACACTGAACATCTCAACAACAAGTAATAAAAACCTGATGGATTGTTTTATGTAATGAAGGTTCTTCTCCCTATGGTATCAGTACAGTGAAATACAGGCATACAGGAAAAAAAAAAACACTTGCCACACAAAATTCTTAAAAAAAAAAATATAAGGCTACAAGCAGCTTTCAGAAAAATTAGCCATTCTGAAGAGACTGGTCTTAAAGTTCATAAGCTTTCCATCCGCACTGTTAGAAGTCATGCTGAGGCCTATTATGTCACAGTCCCAAAAGACTGAAACACTCACAGAAGCTGCTTAATTTGCAAACAATTTTTAACAAGATTTGAAAGAATCACTTACACACTTCATCTTTCAATATAGGAGGTTGTGCACACAGGGTTGCGTGTAAGCCCATCCTTTAAGCACTTGCCTCAGGTGCTAAAATTCATAGTACCATCCATTGTTTGACTACTCAGAACCACCAAATTTTGGTTATGCAAGGTAAGTCAGACTCTACAATGGACTAAAAAGAAATACAAGCCAGTGCTGAAAGAACTGAAGTGTGTAACAGCTGAATCTACCCCCCTTACCTAAAGAATGAAGGTATATGAGAATGTGTTAATGACTTTCTCTTATTTAAAGAAAACAGACTTCTCCAATAAGATTACAAGGTGACTTCTTCCACACTAAGTCAAATTACTTCACTCAACTAAAAGTAAAGCAAAGACACGTCTCCAGTCATCACTCTAGTAGGCTACGTTACTGACCTATATTAAATGGGTAGCTTTCTGAATGGTTTGTCTGAAACTGCAAATTTAAGGACTTATGCAAGGTCCTTTCATTAATACAACATGTTTTTGAAAGCTAGTGTTGCCAGATTTGCTATGTTCTGCTACTTTCAGAATATTTAAGCAAAGAACTTGATTCCAGTACCCATTCCAAGTGTGATATGGGCCAAACGGACACCCGGTATTTGTTATGATTGCTTTCACTTCTTTTTTAAGGTTGTACAAGTTGTTTGTTCCAGTCTTCAGCCTTGCAAAAGACTCTGAATTTGACAAGTATTTTTTTGAGCCAGGGTGTGTGTTTACAAAAACATGATACATATCTGGAAAGTCTCACATATTACACACTTACTAAAACTGAGCTGTATTTTTTATTATCCCCCTTTCCTGTTTTTTAACCCTGGGCTGTAAGATTGGGGGAGGGAGGAAGGTAAATAAAAAAAAACCAAACCTACCCATTTAATGTTACTGTACTACTCGACTACGTAAATCGCACTAGAAGGGATTCAATTACAGTGTTGCTTTCAGAAATCTTCAAGTGTTCTGAGTTGCTAGATTTTTACTTAAAAGAATCACAGTAAAAATAAGTAAAGAAGGAAACAAATTAGAAGAAAAACAAAGACCCTTGGCTTTCTGATCAAAAACTGTCAGAAACTTCGTAACTTCTAACGAGGTTTTCTACTTGTGTATACTATTGCGCAAGTGACAATGTTCATCTCCCATTTAATGTTCTGCAATGGTGTCATCTTAAAAACATTATAAAGATTACTCCTGTTAGAATTTAAAATGCAAAAAAGATTCCTTATCATTGTTCCTTACCTTCAGAGATATTTTTGAGGGGAAGTCTCTGGATATCACCCTATATAAATGCAAGTAAGCCACCTACTCCTACCTAGTTCTCAAATAATTAGTGACAGCTGTACCCACAGGAAGATATTTCGTACTTGTATACCTTAATAATGAATACTTTAAATTTTAGTTGTTACTTCTGTCAATTCTAATGCTAATGTTTATCGTTTTGTACTAAGACCCGGATTTCCATAAGAATTCGTTAAAATTTCAGAAGAACATTTCTACAAAATAAGGTGTTCTTTGAAGACAAAAATAGTAGATAGACTCAATCTCTGAAATAGTCCATAGAAACAGGATGAAGATGACTTGCTAATTGCATTTTAGATTGAATCAATAATCAAAGCTCTGCTAAGCGCTTTATAGAGAAAGCTGAAATGAGGCTCAACCTCAAAGAATCTAAACACATACAGCAAAACAGCAAAGAAAAGATCATGGAAAAAAAAAAATGAAGTACACAATATTGCACAGCTAGTCATGTTGATGTACCCTCACCTTGAAATAATCAAGCCTTTTATGCCTTTAGTTCATCTTAAAAGTTCTTTTCAATGTTATGTAAGAGTATACTTATCACAGAATCACAGATTGGTTCGGACTGGAAGGGACCTTATAGATCACCTAGTTCCATCCCCCCTGCGATGGGCAGGAACACCTTCCACAAGACCAGGTTGCTCAAAGCCCCATCCAGCCTGGCCTTGAATGCTTCCAGGGCTCCCACAAGTCCTTCCAATAACTCACTGGACTGTAATCATATGGTCTTCACAACAGTCCTAATCATCAGTACAGACTGGAACTATCTACCTGTGCACAAATTCAGTGGGAGTGCAGAATTTAATCCTATCTACAACAGCGAACTGAACAAGAAACATTAGAAAGTGAGTGAGAAAATGGATAGCTCCTCAGAATACTGAACACTTCTCTTCAGGCTTGGCTAAGAACTACTCTCCTTAGGCCTGCAACAGATTCATTCCCATTTACCAGCTATTATTTTATAAATCAATATGAATTTTGTATATTTCAACCCTGAAACAAGGAACAAAATATATTTCCACAGTACTGATGGCCCTGAAGCATCCATATTATAGTACTTGTTATGCATTTACATGAAAAAAATTCCTTTAAGATACGAAACAAATACATTGTATAGACATGCTGACAACAATCTCTGCACAGCCTAAATGCAGATGCAATGCGCGTTTTACTGAGTTTTCATTCTTCCTGATCAGTAGCAGGTACAATGTTATTACATTTATACTATCCTATGCTTTCATCATGAAGTCTTTGGACACAAAATGTTCAGAATATTAACATTATTTTGTAAATCCCACACCACAGGAAATATAAGTCACATACATTCATTCACCACTAAATAAAATACTACCTTAACGTACAACTCCTTTTAATTCAGTTCTTCAGGAAAATGGATTTACTCTCTCATACTACACCAGTAAACAGTTAAAAACACCAGGCTCTCCAACTGAATTTAAAAAGAAGAATCTGATAGCAGAACAGCTATCTAATATGGCAGAAAATGGAGTATTTTGAGATTTAACTTACATATAAAACATCTTTACAAAAAGCTTCCAATAAACCCAAAGAATTTATTACTTAATATCTGCATATTTATTTTGAGTTATTACAGGAGTTCCAACAACTCCCACATCCCTTCAAAAAATTGAGCCAAGCATGAGGAATTTCTTTCAGAAAAAAAAAGGGGAGTGGGTGGATCAAAGTTGTGGTTAGATAAATTTGTTAAATTACATCATTGAAGTCCATCTTCTAGAACTTTACAGAAAACATATAGAAAGCATAACAGACAGATGAACATGCAGCATGCTTACATACTTAAAATGAAGATCTTTGAAAGTAAAGTGAGTTTCCACTATTCCTGTAGTTTTCACTCTAGTCCTGAGAACGTCCTGTTGGGTTGGAATGTAGCTGGTTTGTGCTATCCTGTCCAAGTCATTCAAGTAACTGAAGGTAAAAATAGATACTGCTTTCAGTTATTCATAAAACAGTAGCAAGATAATTACAAAGAATTACAGAAGTTCTAGGTCCATTCATTATATTGGGCTTGACTTCTATAAAATAGCTTTCTCTGAAGTAAGAAAAAACAAGACACATTATTCCCCTCAATTTTCCAAGGATTACTGAAATAACCTTTAGAGACACAAAGATGTTTCATCTTAGAAGAAAGAGAACTTAGACAATTGACTCCACTACAAAGAATTCTTCTTCTGAAATCCCAAAATGCAAACATGGTTCCACATACACCAACGTTACTTGCACTAACTAGAAGAATACCTTCATCTTTGCAACCTACTGAACTACAAGTTACTTTGTATTCTAAACAAAGCCCAAAATTACCCTGGATTTGGTAATATGTATGAAAAGAACAACTCAGTGTTTTGGCCAGAATTAATGTGTTCAGGAAAATAGTTCATACATAACAATTAGCTTTCTATTGAGAATTTCCAATTGCACACATTTTTTACAACAGTATACGTTGATTGCCAAAATTCTCATGATGCAGGCCAAGAAGCCCAGCATTTCTAAACACCATACAAATCATATTTGTGCTTTCCCATAGTAAACAGGGAAGGCATTCTGGTTACACTGAAAGAAGAACATAAGTTAACAATTTTAAGAATACAATTATATGGCTAGAACAGATTTCTTTGGAGGCAGAGGTATCTAAAAAACCAAAATAAAACAGATGAGGTTACCACAGGAAAGTAAGCCACCCTCCAAATGAAGTGCTCCATATTGAAGAAAGTTTATACAAGTGCTGTCTCTTAAGTCAACAGATGTGTCAATGTCAGCTCAGCTTGTTGCCATCTACCACCTGTACACTTAGAACAACTTCAGCAAACAAGTAACAATCATGCTGGAAGTATCAGTGCTATTTCTATACAATTTGATCACATGTATTTTAATTCAGCATACCTATAATTGCATTAGTCTAGCTTTAGTCTTCTCACAGCTACCTCACCTGCATGTTGTTTATTTATGTACAGTTACTCTAAAGAACAGAAGTACCTTATTTTAGGAGAAGTGAAAAACAGCTTCAAATACTACAAATTAATTCCGAACAACAAAGCTTTGAAAAATCGCCCTATGAGGCCAGTATCAGTGCTGCACCGCTCTTACCACCTTACCTCTCCCTCGATGGATTCTCTTCCTTGACTGACTTAGCATTACTTGCTGCCATCACATCTTATTTCTCACACCCCTGATTCCTTACCATTTTCTTTTTTTAAAGAAGTACCCTAGCATAGAGGACACATCCTGATTGTTGCTTTTGCTCAACACATTTCTAACAGAGACCACTAATTAACAAAGAAAATGAAGCGATGTTGAACCACAAGAGAAACTCCATTATGAACATGAAAGTAGGATCCTTTGTAATACAGATTCATATCATGTAATCAAGTTTCCTGGACATGTTCAGATACTTAACAGGTACTTCAGTCATGTTTTCGTAATAAAAATGCTATTAAAGCACCTTAAAGAAATTTTTGCCTTCCTCAAGAGGACAACTGGTCAGAACATGGCTCAAATTCGTAATTATACCACACCGTTTCCTTTCCAACCTTGAAGTCTAGTTGGAGCATTTTGACCTAAGTAGAGAACATCTTTGCCCAGATACTTCTAAATTTCCAACTACATGGGAGCAGAATTCCTCAAAAGATTATATTCCCCTTATATTCCTTTAGCTACTACTTACAAGTAAAAAAAAAAAATCTTGTTTGTCACCTAGTACTTACTAGGCAGCAGAGTCATTAAGCTGGTATTCTCTAGATCTGTTGAAACAAGCTTGAACTCCACTGTCTTTCCACAGTCTCTTGATAACTCCAGCAAGCTCTGCAGTCATAAATCCTTCTTCTGCTGCTCCAGCTAATACAAAGAGTTGACGAGCATCATCCTTTAGGATGCAAACAGAAAGTGGAGAGACAAGCATTGAGAAATACAACAGAAGTATTATGACCTAAGAACTATATTCAGCAACTGAGTTACTTTCTTAACCTGGGAAATGTGAATGTAACCAAACAAAAAAAATGTGAAGGAAAACAATTGGTTTTAGCGTTCAGCCTAGGACATTAATTCCCACATTTTTCAACAACAGAAAAAGACTAGTAAACTAAATCTCTTATTCGCTGATAAAGCTTCTTGTGATTTGTTTGTAACTTGAACTAAACTTCTATAAAGAGAAGTAGTAACATATTTGCACTCAAGTCTAAAGTTAACCTTATTTGCTTATCAAATACCAAAAACTGAATAGTGACAATGCATACTACAGCCTCCAGGAATGCAGATGTATATTGATTGACTGAAGGAAACACATTAACCACTTAAGCCTCAAAAACCAACTTTGTTAGAAAGTGACAAATGAACATTTCTTCCCAAATCATGCATCAGGAAATATAAAAATACTTCCTAAAGCCTTCCCAGATAGATCAGTTACAAATATCCATTACTTTAAGTACTCTACAGAGACCAAGTTTTTTCTGTAATGCAATATTAAGCAAACATCAAGATTTTTAGGAGTGCAAATGCTGGATTTTAAGACTATGTATAATGACTGCCTTTGAGAGTGAGGCTAATGGAGTACAGGATGTCAATCCACCAGTCTCCTTTAACGTAATCTGACCAGTTGGCTACCTTCATCTAGTTTTGACTGAGGAAAGAAACTTAAAAATGTTAGACCTGTGAGGCACTGGAAAAAGAAGACAGCAGCTGGGTAGAGGAAAGAGGTCCACATTAGTACTCTCCTGTGGGTAGCTGCGTGACCTTGGTTATTAGCTGTATGTGATCTAGCGCCAAGGTACGTCAGCCAGAAAAATCAACATACTTGTGGCTTGTAACTACTACCCACAGCATGTACTGTTTGCCTAGTAATGAAAGTAAAGAGAACAGATGATACTGGAAAGGAGCAAAGAGGAAAAGGAGACTTCGGTAAATCTGTTGGGAACTGAACATATTTCAAGAAAGAAGAGGGTTAAAACAAGCAAATCTGTACAAAAAGTTCCTGTTCTGTCACCTTTGCTGGTCAAACAAGCTGTGGAAAAAAAACTAAAACATTTTCAGGTTAAGCACAGGAAATAGTGATTGTTCCGAAGAGATTTTCTGGGTGTAGACTTAAATAATTAAAGATTATGACTGCTAACAGGGAAATTGTTTACAAATGGATTGAGCAATACTGATATTCACAGCTTGAAAACAAAAAGCTTGCAGTTCAGTCAACTCAAGGCAAATTTGAAGAGATTTCAATGTATCTATATGTACACATATTATTTATACATATGAACAACAGGTATCTGACACATAGTTCAAAAAGTATTTTGAAAGCTAGAGTAGTTATAAATCTAAAACCAAACATCTGTCAAACAAGTTAACAGAATACCAATTACTGTACATGCATAAGACAAATTGTGGACAACTAATAAAAATTCAATGGATTGCACTAATAATTACATAAAAAATAGAGCAGATCAAAGGGCTGGACAGTCAAATCTCATGGACTGTAGTTTGAGTAATATGTTTGCATAAAGAAACCTCAATAACAACCCTGGTCTTGAATATTGTTTGTGGCCAAGGACCTACTACTTATAGAATCAGCAGATATTGAAGAAGAGCCAATATATTAAGACACATGATGGAAATAGTTTAGAAACTGACAGTCAATTCTGTCATGAATGATTACACCATTTTATACATAACATGGTTTGACTTTCAAACATATAAGATGTACTCTGTTTCAAATAGCTCCAATCTCTACACGCTATAAAATGGAGGGGGAGGGGGAAGGGGAGGTAGAACAAGAGAATCAATTTCAGCTTTTTAAAAGAACAAAACGTGAAAATAAAAAGTGGTCCCTATTACCCCCATACTCCCTTTTCTAAGGACACCAAGTACTACAGACACCACAAGTGAGGTAGTATACAATGATCAAGTCCTATTTTCATTATTAACCAACGCTAGATACTTTCCTTCAATTATACTGGAATGGGGCAGGTTCCTCTCTAGGAGTCACTATTTTTACACCACATTTCATATATGAGATGAAGAAACTGATTTAACCATCTCTCTAGCTAATTACAGCAAATCTCACCTTCAGAAAGTGGTCCACAGTCCTTTAAAGCACATTTGCTAAATGTCTCTCAAAACATAGTTTCTACTTTAGCACTGAAACATTCTGTAGGACAAAAGGCAGATACACCAGTCTTGAGACTGACCATTACTGAAGCTGCTGGTGTAACCTGTGCTCCCTTCATTCAATAGCTTCAAAAATGTTCAGCTCACTGCTTTACTATTAGTCTTATGACAGAAATAAGAGTATATGATCTTCCAAACAAACTTACTCCATTCAGAGTACAAACCTCAGAAATTTAAGCAAAATAGTCTGAATTTAAGAGTTTTCATCAGGAGTTACAATTCCAAGCTTTTTTTTGGCAGTCGAAACCAACAAAATTACAACAAAATAGAATAAAATTAAAAAGGCTATACTGTAATAATTGAGGATCAACCATACTTTTTCTTAAGTGAGACTGATGAGCTCTGAATTCCTTTTTCCATTTCTGAATTGACAATTCGCAAAAATCTAGTACTGACATTCCATAGGAGTGTTGCTCTGAAAAAAGAAATTGGATGACCAAGACCTGCCTAAGCTCAAGGGGATGGACAGCTATTTTAAGATTACCCTGACAGAAGTTTGCCTCATCATTTATACAGCTCTCTGAAGCCAAGAAACTCAGATGACTTCAAATTGGTATCATATATAAAATAGACCTCAAAATCTTCTTGTTAGTCATTTTATCTGCTAACACCTAAATTTACTCCTCCTCCGCTTTCTCTTACTATGTATTTAGTAACATGAGTCTACCATCTGGCTCTTTCCAACACTAACTGCCAGACTCCAGAGAGAACTCCATTGCACAAATAATGAACTAACATGCAATAAGACACTGCTGCTGCGCTGGAAAACTTCGGTCTTAAGGGAAGACAACAGCAAACATGAGAATAAATGTAGAGAGGAACAACCAATGAAAACAAAGCTTTTAGCAGTTATGTTTACAACTGAAGAGCTTTCAGGTAGAATTAACATACATACATAAAATAATGACTATCAAAGAGCAAAATGAAAATTAACTAATAATTCATGACTGCAAATCAGATTTAGACTTCAGATACAACTTTATGACCCAATTTACACAATTTTATGAACGTCTTCCTTATGACTACCATACATAATGCATTTCACAAGGTCACTGAAGTTATAATATTTATAAATTGCTTTTTAAGCAATCAGTAAGACTTTGAACACATGACTTTGTCCTGAATAAGGAATTTACATACTGTTTCTTATTTTTCAAGACCCTGCTCTCCTCTTAAAAGTAATTCAAGTCTTAACATTATGGAAAGAACCTAATTATGACAAAATATCCCTCTCACTACCTTAAATAGTTATTTCAATACATGAATAGCAAAAAAACTTCCTCCATCTTTCCTGCAAGACAGCCAGTTCCTGTGGCTAGTTCCTGCTTCAAAAACTGTACTGGTGAGCATTCCATATTCTCACACTGATTTCTATGGAAAGAAAATAAAAGCACTTGTCCTGAAATAAGTTTCAATGCCATTCAGACTAACAACTTTAGTGATCAATTTCAGCATTGCAGCACAGAATGTATTCCTGTTACCAGAGGACAAGCAAAAAGAAAAAAAAAACCCAACACGCTAAGCATTTTACAGAAAGATGCAGAGCATCTAACCTCCTGACCAGACATGGACATAATCAGGGTAACCACAGGTAAAAGTACAGGTTTAGAACTGTAGAAACAATAAGCTGAAAGAAAAAATTCTGTAGTCCAGCTTCAACAGGTGGAATAGCAAAGAGACTCACTCATCGGAGACTTGTATGCAGGACGTTAGATGAAATGAGATGGAAAAGCTTAGAAAAAGGTGTCCCATTTCTTGGGAAAAATCCTTAATCCACAAGGTATCATGAAAAAATAGGATACTAGCAGCAGGGCTTTGCCCATGTCTGTGCTTCAAGTAAAATAAAGTCCTCCAAACCAGAAATCAGTATGAAACAGGATCAAGCTCAGAAGCTGGAAATGTTTTAGGCACCGCTGTGCCTATGACCTAACTGAGAAGTGCAGACAGTAGCTAGATGCTTCCCTGTTTAAGCTGTGTTTTTAAGGAACATGAAGATGTCTAACTTAAAATGATCTACAGAACAGTTCATAAATCCAAACAAATGAAGAGACATGACTGCATAATTTAATGTTTTTCAGAAACTCCCTAAGACTTAGCTATTTAGTTCTCCAAATTTAGATAGAATTTGGAGAACTGTATCTAAACCAAACAGTTGTTATGAATCAACCCAGTGCCGATTGCTCTGTACGTCACCTTACCATGTAAATACCAATGGCATTTAGTTTTCAATCAAACTTTGTATTCTACAGACAGGATTCTTGGATATCAAGAGACTTTTTCAGGAAACAATAACAGAGAAAAATTGAAAATTAATGGATATTTCAGCTGGGTATCTGTGTACTTCAATACTCACAGCCCTGGTTGGATCACCAAAGTCTATCTTCAACCTCCCCATTGCTCTTATGATAGCAATAATGGACTGAATGGTGTTACTGTAGACAACAGCTTTGTACTGTTTACATTCTTCTTCTGAATAACCAGCTTCATGGATAATCCTACAGAAGGAAAAAAAATAAATTCTCTATTCAAATTTAAAAAAAAAAATATTTCTCTATCATAGTATTTCACCATACTTACTTCATTTGTTTTACAATTGTGCTCTTCCCTGACTCACCAGCTCCTGAAAAATAAATGCATGAAAATCAGTTAGAATTTAATTAATCTTTGAAAACACATTTAGTTTCTACACTTCAAATACCTAACCAATATAAAAACCTTCAATCGTGAAAAGTACATTTGTTACAAATTAATTTATAAAATCAAAATGTAAGCGTCTCGAGCTGGAAGTTTCAACATCAAGACGTTTTAAGAATAAATCATTACGCTCTAAAAAGTCTTTCCATTTCTTTTTATAGAAGTGAGCATAATCTTTACATAGTCTGTTGGTGTTTCTAATGCAAACAGATGATCAGTTTTCAGCTTCAAAAGGGTCTGAAGCTCAATTCCTCTAACTGCCTTTTTAATCAACACCTAACCAAAAACCTCTGTTATAAGTTCTTCACACTATATTAATGGTCTTCAATGTTGCAAATGAACATCTTCAAACTCTTCAGGGTTCTAGTCCTTGTAACAATCTTTTGGCCCTTGCAAGCAGAAACCAAAACAGTCAAACTAGTCTTTGTTGGAACAGATTGCATGAGGTTTGCCAGACACGCTGATACCATTCTCAATGCTTAACAAGTTACAGACAAACAAAAAACAAACAAACAAAAAAAAGCATGTTTTGTTAAAATACAAAGCTTACAAAAATAACGAGTACGTCTCTCAGCAGACAGAGGAAAAAAATGCAGTTTCTGCTGCCTGAACAACCTTGGTTTACTTTACCTCCGCTTTCTTTAGTCTGTTTCTTTCTCTGAAAAAATTATGGAACTCTTAGCGCTGTGATTGAATCCCATTAGACAAAACGCTCCCAGTTTGCCTGCAACTTGTGCTGAATTCTCCCTCTTACACTTCCTCTTTCTCAATGTGGTTTTGCAGAAGCGAGCACAATCTACACTCAGTCTACAGTTATTTCAAATGCAAACAGAACACCAGTTGTCCAATTCTAATACAACCAAAGAGAACTCTCTTCTTTAGAGGTCACTGTGACCATGAGAAGCCACTGATAAAGGCTGTATTCATCTTCAACAAAGGGCAAGAAGCGGAATTTGAGGCATTACAAGACAGTCAGCCTCACCTCGATCCTCAGACTAACTATACAGCATATATTCCTGGAAGTCATTTCCAGGCACATGAACAAAAAGGTGACTAGGAATTGCCAGCATGGATTTACAATGTGCAAACTGCACCTAACTTGATAACTTTTCATGAGGACATAGCTGATTTTGGGGATGAAGAACACCAATGGATGTCAGTTACACTGACTCTAATAAGGCTTTCGATGCCACCTCCCATGGCATCCTTGTACCAAACTGGATAAATATCAACTTCAAGGTGTCTGAAAATCTGCCTAGACAGACAGACTTCAACACTTGTGGTTGTGGTCAACGGTTTAAAATCTAACCAACTTCTAGTTAGAAGAGGCAATCTTCAGATGATACTGGGCTAATACAGTTCAACACCTCCATCAGTGAACTGAAAGCCAGGATGGAACACACCCACACTGACTCTCCAGGCAACATCAGCCTGGCAGGCCAGGAAGTGATCACAGTGGTGGAGAACAGAGGTGCTATTCAGAGGATCCCCCACAAGCTAGGGGACTGAGTTGACAGGAATTTTGTGACCGTAAACAGAGACAAATTTGAAGTCCTCCAAGTGGCACAGGATAACCCATGCAACAATACAGACTTGGGACTAATGAGTGCAGGAAATGACTGTGGGTATCAACAACCTGAAGACTCAGTAGTGGGCCCTAGTGACAATGAAGGTCAACCCCACAAAAGACTGCTGCACTGGGTCTGGCTGGGATGGAGTTAACTTTCTTTACAGCAGCCCACATGGTTTTGTGCTTTGGATCTGTGGCTAAACCTATGTTGATAATACACCAGTCTTTTTGCTATTGATGACAAGTGCATGTGCAGCATCAAGGCTTTCTCTCTTTTCCACCCCATCCCCACCCATATGAGTTGGCTGGAGGTTGACAGGAGGTTAAGAAGGGACATAGCCATTACAGCTGACCCAAGTGATATTCCATACCACATGATATCACGCTCAGCAGTAAAAGCTCAGGGAAAGGAGGAGGAGGGGAGGACATTTGTGGTTACGGTGTTTGTCTTCCCAAACAACCATTGTGCATGCTGGGGCCTTGCTTTCCAGGAAGCAGCCAAACATCTGCCTTCCAATGGGAAGTAGGGAACTAATTCTTCTTTTTGCTTTGCTTGTGAGCACAAGCTTTTGCTTTCTCTATTAAAATGTTCTTATCCTGACCCATGAGCCTTCTCACCTTTCTTCTACCTTTTCCTCTCCCTTGGGATGAGGAGAGTGATCAAGCAGCTGCGTGGGTGTTTGGGTTGATCCCGGCCAACAGCTACCACTGCTTACTGGTAAAACTGCAGTCAAGTCAAAAGAAGCTGTTATTCCCCAGCAGCCAACATTTATCATGCTGTATCCGAGTACTGCGTACTGCTACCCCACTCAACGCCCAGTAAATGAGATACTGATAAACTAGACAAAAAAAAAGAAGGCTGGTGCACATGGCATGCAAGGAAAAGCTGCACAGAATTAGGGTTTTTAAACCTAGAAAGACTACCAAGGGGAAAGAGGTGAGATGGGATATGTGTCTAATTGCTGTCCTCTTCATAAAACCCACTTAAGAGAGTTGAAGACAGAAGCAAACTTCTCAGAGGTACACAATAAAAAAAATGTGAAGCAATGAAGAATCAGAGAATAATCAATCAAAGAACGGTAGGGGTTGGAAGGGACCTCTGTGGGTCATCGAGTCCAACCCTCCTGCCAAAGCAGGGTCACCTACAGCAGGCTGCACAGGACCTTGTCCAGGCGGGTCTTGAATATCTCCAGAGAAGGAGACTCCACAACCTCCCTGGGCAGTCTGTTCCAGTGCTCTGTCAACGCTCAGAGGGAAGAAGTTCTTCCTCATGTTCAGACGGAACTTCCTGTGCTTCAGTTTGTGCCCATTGCCCCTCATCCTGTTGCTGGGCACCACTGAAAAGAATCTGGCCCCATCCTTCTGACACCCACCCTTAAGATATTTATAAGCATTTAGAAGGTCCCCTCTCAGCCTTCTCTTCTTCAGGCTAAACAAGCCCAGCTCCCTCAGCCTCTCCTCGTAGG